ATTTTCTGGAATCATACATTATCATTTTACAAGGAAAAGATACAAAGGAAATACATACATTTACATTTCATATTTAAGAAAATATTGGATTTTCTGGAAACATACATTATCATTTTACAAGGAAAAGATACAAAGGAAATACATACATTTACAGTTCATATTAACGAAAATATCATATTTTCTAGAAGTATACAAAATCATTTTACACGAAAATGTTACAATTCCTTCTCATACAAAATGCTTATGAACTCACCAACTTAATTGTTGACACTTTTCAAAATCACTTGTATTCTCAGGAAATCAGTAAACATGTATTCGAACCATTTTGAGGGCCGGCGTCGCTGTTTTATGTTTTCTACTTCTCAGTTATTTGTATTCAACTTTTGAACAAACAGAGTTTTGTAAACAATGTAATACTTGAAATCTCAATGTATGAATGTTTGTGTTGCTATGTTTTATTTATATTAAATTGTTATGATGTTGTACATGAAGTCACTCCATCCGCCCCTAGACGTTTCCGCCGTTCTAATTTGGGGGTGTGACATGGGTTCCTATAATCTGGTTATATTGGAGTGAACCCTCATAAATCGAATCTTAAATCCAAAACGGATCATCACCAAAGTAATCAAACACAAAGGCGATTAAATCCCAGCCAAACACCCTTGCAAATCCATAACACAAGAATCAAATCTGAATCGGTGTTGAAGAGAGAAAGATCGAGAAAGAGGGGAGAGAAAGAGAATAAATCGAAATGACCCAAATCAAATCCTTAAATCCAAGAATCAAAACAAATCAGTAATGTGTTCCTCATGATGATCGATGTTGACCTTCTCATGCCCATTTTTTTCTCTCATTCTCTCCTCTTGTCAAGATCTACATGTCGAATCTTCCTTTAGAGGGTGCAGGAGAGTAAGACACAAGTGGAGTGCAGGTGGCGCCGAAGACAAATGTTATTGCCGACAACTACAAATGCTTCAGGCATGGAGGTGTTGACTGAACCTGGAGTAGGGTTCGTAAGATACACAAAGGAGATAGAGAAAGACAGGAGAGAAAGAGACCGGAGAGACAAAGGGTATCAGTGGTTATATCATTAATTAAAAAATAATAAAAAAAGGGAAAAATATATATTAAGGGCATTATAGTTATTTTCTATTAAGCAGGGACTTACACTGTTTCAAAATCAAACCATAAGGACGGTCCGAGTAAAAAGAAAAGATAAAGACCAAACATAAAATTTTGGCAAACCACAGGGATGATTTAGTAATTTGTTCTATTTTTTTTTTTTTTTATGATTATCCGATATAATACACATTCGTTGCAAGAAAAAGAAGTATACCAAAAGAAGAAAGAAAGGCCATTATTGAAAGTCAAGGCCTCAAGGCCAAGGAAGGGCACAAGATACTAACGTGGGCACGCACGCAAGAGGTGCCGTAAAAATAAATTCTCCCGCCATCATCCAAAAATATACATAAACACCACCATAATCATCATTTCTTTCTTGGATCTCGAATATCTACCATTTTTTTTTCATTCTCTCTAAGTTTCTAAGAAGAAAAATAAGTAAAAATAAGTAAAAATCAGGGAAATGGAGTTACCGGTGATCGATCTGGAACCGTATTTGGATATAGTGTCTGGCAAATATTGTGGCGATGAAGTCTTAAATCCCCAACTGAAGACGGCTTGCTCGGAGGTTAGTCGAACCCTAAAAGAAACAGGAGCTTTGCTCGTCAAAGATCCCCGATGTTCTGCTCAAGATAACGATCGGTTTATCGATATGATGGAGAAGTATTTCGAACAGCCTGATGAGTTTAAACGTCTCCAAGAGCGTCCTCACCTCCATTATCAGGTTTTTTCATATACTGATTCCCAGTCAACCTAGTGTTACGGATTGTGTTTGAATTGCATTGATCGATCGATAAATCCGAGGAATTTTGGGGGTTTAACAGAAAAATATGTAAAATCAAGTTACTTACATGCTCAATTATTTGTTTTTATTCGTCCTTCCGATCAGAAAAGGGGGACGCAGATGCGAAAATAATACTTGTTCAAGTTTAGAATCCAGTGATGTTAAGTGTGGTTTACCTGGAAAATGAAATTGTCATGTTGAATCGTAATTAGGCAAATTGGGTTTTGAAAGAAAAGATAATTTGGTGTTTGTGAAAATTACAGGTGGGTGTGACACCAGAAGGAATTGAAGTTCCTCGTAGTTTGGTTGATGGGGAAATGCAAAACAAGCTGAGATCATTGCCTAAAGAGTCTCAGCCGTTGACCCCATCAGGTCCAGATCCTAAGTGGCGATACATGTGGAGAGTTGGTCCTCGACCATCAACTACTCGCTTTCAGGTTTAAGCAGACTTCTCCTTAAACTCAAGATTCCCAAAGGGATTGGAATGTGAGATTCCATTTTGTGAGGGAGATGAATGGAATCCATGTTTCATCGTTCCAAGGATGAATCTTTCACTTCCAAAATCATTCTTTTATCTGATGAGTTTTGTTGATGTAGGAACTGAACTCGGAGCCGGTTATACCTGAAGGTTTCCTCGAATGGAAAGAGACCATGGATTCTTGGGGTTCCAAAATGATATCTGCTATAGAGGTGAAGTAGTGACTTTGCATCATAAGTTCTTGAATGTTACAGGATATAATTCAAAATTCAATTTCCTCAGGCTGTTGCTGAAATGGCAGCAATTGGTTTTGGCTTACCAAAGGATGCATTCACTGCTCTAATGAAGAATGTGAGTGTTTATTTATCTTTTCTGTTTGGTGAAAATCATCAAATGACAATCTCATTATATATATCTTAGGATCTTATCCGTTAATGAAGTTGCAAAACCCAGATATTCTTATGATTTTTTTTAGGGTTAGGTCATTGTACTTGTAAAAAAGGTTCCACTGACTCAGGTCACTTTTTATCTTGGACAAGTGACACATAAGTAAATGGTTAAGGTCATAGAAAAGTAATATTCCTCCTAACCAAACTTTCTTTCGTACTCTGGTTTTAATTTAATGTGGACAATCCAAGAGGTATCCCAGTTTGTTGATGTTTGAATTATATGTTTCTGGATTGCAGGGTCCACACCTTCTTGCTCCAACAGGGAGTAACCTTGAACGCCATGGGAAAGAGGGTACTGTGTTTGCAGGGTATCATTATGACCTTAATTTTTTAACCATTCATGGCAGAAGTAGATTCCCTGGTCTAAGTATTTGGCTAAGGAATGGGAAGAAAGTAGAAGTCAAGGTTCCAGTTGGTTGTCTACTTATTCAGACAGGAAAGCAGGTAAACAAATACCAATCTACTTCTTTACCTAAAAATGCCTCACGTTTTATCTTTTATAATGGAGATATGAATCTGCTTTCTCAGTAGCAATTTCACCTTTCCTTTAACCCACTTTCATTTCATTCTACTTTAAATACTCTACCCAGTTATAGCAATGTTATAAATTACAAAGCAATTTTCAATGTTTTTTTTTGAAAGTACAATGCTATAATTGGGTAGGCTGTTCACCTTTATAAAAGAATTGAAGTACAAGGCTGCAATAGAAAGAAACACAAGTAGGATGTACATTGCTACTTCTTGCATTTAACCTCTTAGCTTTTTGGTTTATGGAGATGAAATGTAAACAAAATCTACAGCAGCCTTTCATGATGCCAAAAAAGTAATGTTAAAACTGAGTTTAAGCTTTATATCTTTTTTGAATTTTCAGATAGAATGGTTGACTGCTGGAGACTGTATAGCCGGTATGCATGAAGTTGTGGTAACTAACAGAACACTTGAGTCAATTAAAGCTGCATCACAAGAAAATCGAAGCCTCTGGAGAGTATCATCAACAGTAAGTGCATCAGTTTTTAGGCTGTTAATCACAATCTATACTTTTCCTTTTTACTTTATACACTGCTGTTTAATTATACTTACTCACTTATTTATCAAGAAAAATAAATTGAACACTCAAGTAAGATTATAATTAAAGTATATAATTTAGTTATTTTTAGAATATAAACTTGTTATTTATATATAAACATCAATTGTTTTTCAAAAAAATGTCATAAAAAACTATGAATAACAATTACTTATATTGCAATTCTTTTATTTCATTCTATCTGACAAAACAAACAGTTTTTTTTTTTTTTTCGATCCCAATGCCATTCTACCTAAATGTATCAGCATTGTGACATCTGTTTATAAACGGAAAAGTCAACGTGTACTTTATAAACGTGGGTGTTGTTTCTTTTTGACTAATTAGACCTTATAAGGACATGAATTGTTTTTTTTTTTTTATTTTGCTTTATGCAGAAAGAATGACTTAATAGAGAAATCAACTCCTACCTTTTTACAAACTTTTCATTATTTTCTTGATTGACTTGATTAAAAAAAAAAAAAACATGGGCTTGTTGGTGGGTTTTAGGGTTAACATTGGGTCTACTTTTATTTTTTGGTAGTTATTTTCTCATATAGCATCAGATGCTGTGCTGAAGCCCCTGGGACATTTTGCACAGTCACCGCTTGCCGACAAGTATCCGCCCATTTGTGCTGGAGAGTTTGTAGAACAAGAACTTTCTGTCATTAATCTTAAAGGAAACAGAGGAGAGCTTTAGAAAAAAGGTACATGTACAGGTACATCCCATAAAAAGAGAATTATTTTTTTATTATTTCATTAAAAGTGACTTGGAAATCAAGTATACTGAAGTAAGTGAATGGGAAAAAAGTTGGCAAAAAATATCAACATAGTTCCAATACCAATTCCTTTGTGAGATAAGATTGTGGGAACCAAATGCTTAGAGAGTAATTTAATATGAAGATATATTTCCATGGCATGTGAATGAGTCACAGAATATGAGTTTAGCAACTGTTTCCATAAGTATAATAAGCATGGCAACAATGGTGAGGCTTAGGAATGACATGGATCCTGCATGAGTAGAAACTAGAAAGAATGAATGGCTATATATATAAATGGGATTGGTGTTGGTGTTATTATAAAATAATAAAATACAAGTAGAAAAAGATGGAAAAGAAACAAGTGGCAGTGGTGGTGGTGGTTGTGGTGGTGCTGGGAGTGATGGTACAGGGGAGTGCGGGGTTCCCTTGTGGCAGCACATTTTTCTCGGCATTGGTGCAACTGATCCCATGTCGGGCGTCGGTTGCACCATTTAGCCCCATTCCTCCAAACGACGCCTGCTGCACCGCCCTCAGGGTCCTCGGCCAACCCTGTCTTTGTGTGCTTGTCAATGGCCCCCCCATCTCCGGTGTTGATCGTTCCATGGCCATGCAACTTCCTGAAAAGTGCAATGTCAACTTCGGTCCATGTATTCTTATTTCTTAATAAATAAAATCTCTATCTATTCCTATTTTTGAATCTTGAATATCGGTTCACAAATACTAAATAAAATCTTACTCTGCTCATACATAGAGCCTAGTGTAACTAAGAAAGGATTGTTTGTGTTGCCAGGTGAATTGGTGAAGGAGGAAGTCAGGACGTAGAGACTCCAGTGCAATGGAATAAAGCAAAGCCGGTGGTTTCCTGCTAAATAAATCAAGTCTTATCATCCAACTCCAAGCCTCTTGTTTTAGTTTTCTTTTATTTAGATTTTAAATTTCCTCTGTTTCTACTATACTATTTGTATTAAAAATGTTTCAGTGCGACTGCTTTAATTATATATAAAAACTAAACCAACATAACATTATCTTACCTATACAAGTATTTGAATATTAAATAAGGAAAATCTCCAGAAAAGTCCTAAAATTTTACCCCAATTTACGAAAAAGTCTCAAACTAAAATTTGTTTACGAAAAAGCATGAATTACCGGTAAAAATGACGATTTGACCAATTTTTTCCGGTTTACCGGTTTCATTACTTACCAGTTTCACTAAAGTCTTATTGTTTTACCCTAATTTGCGAATAAGTCACAAACTAAAATTTTGTGATGATTTGGCCATTTCCTTCATGTAACATACATTTTATCCGTTTCATTGCTGACTTAGACACCTAGTCATTAAATTAGCTGATAAGATAGATACGATGAGTTATATAATGCTACATTTACTGTAAAATTTGATATCCATCTCATCGGCTCATTTATGACTATGTATCTAGGTCAGCAACGAAACCAATAAAATGTGTTTTCAGGAAAAAAAGACAGAAAATGAGTTGATGTCTCATGAGATGGATATATTGGGTTACATAAGATTAGATAGACAATTTGATATTTCTTATAAACGTAAAAAATAACGCAGTTGTTGCTAGTTTATGTAATTATTGCAGTCTTTGTTGGATGCATTTTATGTTCCAAAAGAATATACAATACATCAGGATATCAAGTTTTATGCTAAACATAACATTATATAACTCAACATATCCATCTCATCATCTCATTTAATGACTAGACGTCCGGGTCAGCAATGAAACCAGTAAAATGTATGTTACATAGAGAAAATGGCCAAATCATCACTAAATTTTAGTTTAAGACTTATTCGTAAATTAGGATAAAATAATGAGACTTTAATGAAACAGGTAAGTAATGAAACCGGTAAATCGGGAAAAATGGGTCAAATCGCCATTTTTACCGGTAATTCATGCTTTTTCGTAAACAAAATTTAGTTTGAGACTTTTTCGTAAATTATGGTAAAATTTTAGGACTTTTCTGGAGATTTTCCTATTAAATAATTCCTTATTTACACCTATGCATTCACGGTTATACTAAATGGTAAACATTTTTCAAAATGATTCTAGGAAATAGCACAATTTTGCTTGTTTTTGGAAAAAAAACTCAACCATATACAATTTTTCTATGACTTGATCACGACCAACAATTTCTTATTCAAATTTTGTATTGCTGATATGTATATTTAGTCGTTTAATCGTTATTTGATGTCATGTATCAAATTAAATGTTGACTACCACTTTATTTTACACCCTCTTTAAATTTTAAAACTTCTACATTACAACTTAGAGATTGAGGGTAATTAAATGTTAAAAGTTGTTTTAACATTACAAGTTAGAGATCGAGGTAATCCCATTATGAGAAGTTGATCAAATGTTTCAAGTCCTACCCATAGATTCGATAAATTTTTTAGAACAAGTCAGACTTTGACAGCAAGTATCGTAAACAACAATGTCAAAACATGGGTTTGACTTGAGCACACCCTCTTCCAAACACTATACTAATTTATTTTTGAACAACAAATCTAATTTACTCTTAAATCCATTCATGTCCCAGGACTTGAACTTTCAACCTTAAAGAGAGAAGATAACACCTAATACCATTAGCCTAGAAGCCCTTTGGTACACTATACTACTAGAGGACAAACACAAACCTCCATTTGCTTTCATATCTCGAAACATTTTTATATGTTCGATATCGGGTTTCTTGATTTGTGAACTCAAATAACATAACAGACTTAATTGACCATCATGTCAATGTCGTCTAGGAACGACCATATACTTACATCTATTCGATTCATCGAGGACTCATACCGATATCACACTCCAACAAGTATCTGCGTTCATCATAAGCTTCACATCATATCTTATACTATCCTTTATAACTGTCTTACTCAGAACATTGTTCAACTACTTCAAGTGCCTCCACTCACTTAAAAGCGTTATACATAACCCAACACATCTCAATATATATATATATATATATATATATATATATATATATATATATATATATATATGATAAACAAATATTGTGTGGGTATACGGACCAATAAGAATTCATGAAAAAATAAAACATTAATAAAATAAATAAAGGTAGTATTGTAATCTCATTTAAAGATAAAGTAACTTCCACAATTACTCCCCTATACTCAGGCTAATTACATTGATTTCTTCTAACCATAACTTTCTCGCGCTATTAATCTAAAAACTATAGGCCACAACACAAAGACACATGCTACACATCACTCTTCTTGAAATCTAATGTCCCAAACCTAACACACTTCAATCTGGAGATTAAAAAACCCGAAGAAACCTTTCTTAGGATACAATTCAACAAGTCGATAAGAACTAGTGGAAGACATTTGCATCACCACCGCCATCAACATCAGTTGCATGAAAATCAGGGTCGGTCCTGAGGATTCAAATGCCCGGGACGAGTCAGAAAAAAAAGGCCTTTAGGACCTAACGTGTAACAAATTAAATTATATAAATTAATTTTTTTTAAAACAACGATAATCTTTATAACAACAAATTTTTTAGAAACAATTTTTAAAGTCTAATGACCAAAAAAGAAATGAAGTGAAAGTATGTTACTATTTGTTGCATCACCGAATGCTGTAATTCCAGCTGTCAATACTTTCCAGCAGACACGCTATAACCATACTTTTCCCACAAAGTCCGTATAACTACATCAAAAAAACAAGGAATAATAGAGACATGATGATGATGATGATTAATGGACCTCTTGACATCAAAGATCGGGATCAGAAGACACCCAATAGAACAATGCACCATCATGGGTAAGAGCCATGCTATATATGCATCATCTCTGCAGCAATTGAAACCACATGAAGCTGTTTTGACCGGTGAAACATTAAAGGAGTGCAATACATGGAGGAAAATAAAATCTAGAATATTATAATCCCTGCAACAATTTTCATTCTTTTTTTTTTAATTTTCTAACAAGGTACCTCTCAATCGACTCCTAAAACAACAATGTGATACTTGGCTGCTGACACAAGAATGAAAACTTTTCCTTTTAAATACTCAACTAGCCTCGGGGTGTAATTTGAGCCTGCGTTTGAAGTTCAATTACCAAGTTAACCTTCTTTATTGCAGCCCCAAGTGAAAACATCACCTGAATAAAAAACAACAATAGTATGTTTGTTTGCTATAGCAATAGCAACTATCTTTGACCTTAATGGGCTAACCCTTCTTAGGGCCGCTTGACTATCAACAAAAGTATAACCAAGTTGACCCTCTGCAAAAAATTACCATGAAACATAATCAATATAACATATAACTGATCACTCCGTTTGTATTCCTTTAGGGTAAATAAGTAATTACATCGGTTAGAACCCTCTGTGACAACAACTGTACGATGTTTAGCTTAGCAGCTGCTATTGCCTTAACTCACTTCATGAAATCACCAAAGGCATTTGCTAAGGATGAATTCACCACAGAAATTATAATTTCAGATTGCTGATAAAGTGATAATCATAATCTGATAAGTGATAAACTGATACACATTAACATTACTAATTACTATTGATTATAGTGATTTCCGATTCAAGGCTGCCAATTGGAACAAAAACCCAATATCCGATTCAAGGCTACTAAACTGGAACAAAAAGAAAAATAGAAAATTTTTACCGGAATATCGTTGATTTCAGGCTTCAGAAGGCGCAACTGGAACTGGTTTTTCTAATTAAGTTATCTTTTCGACTGGATTTTGGAATATGACTTCTGGTGGTGGTGGTGGTGCGTGGTGGACTGGTCGAAGACGATGATGAATTGATGATTTTGTTAGTCGATTAGCAGAAACTAGCATAAAAAATAGGGCCCTTGAAAGAAATGGGCCCTGTGCACATGCCCATATTGCCCCTGCCTATCACCGACCCTGATGAAAATCACCATCATCATTAGTGGCATGAAAATTACCATCTTAGAGCCCATTGAGCAATCTTTTCTCATCAAAATTTTTTTGAAAAAAAAAATAGGCGATTCAAATTAAATATCGTGTGAATCATGTATCTTTTAGCCTAAAGTGATTTTTGAATAATTCCTAATTTGTTGGGAGTTTTACTTCCAATTTAATTTAATCAGATTTCATCTTGATTTCATCTTGAGACGTTCAACATTGGTCAATGAGGTTTCAAATTAATATAAGGATTTGATCTTTTTCTAGGTTTTCGCTTAATGTTTCATCCTAGGTTTTATGTTTAATTAGATTTCATATATATATATATATATATATATATATATATATAGAGAGAGAGAGAGAGAGAGAGAGAGAGAGGAAGGATCATTTGAGAACCTATAGTTTCCCGAGAACCCGAGAACCAAACAAAGACCGTTAGATCAAAATAATAGAGGGTCAAGATGATCTATAACATTTTTGTAAATAGTTAGAGAAAATAAGAAACGGGGGTAAATAAATTGAAATGAATCAAGGTCATTTTAGGAATTATTTTAATTCCCTGATTAAACCTCTCATTTACGTCTCTCTCTCTCTCTCTCGTCATCTTCTTCACCGTATCTCTTCCTTCTTCGTCCCTCCTCTATTGATTGACCACCTATACATTTGCAGACTACTACAAATCCACTGCCATTCATCTCCAAATCATCGATGAATAATCCACGATCCACTGTTATTCTT